TTCTGTTCATTTTTCTTTTTATTTTTTTTCTCTTAGTATTTCATAAGAACAACATCACCTCTAGGGCTATAAATTCAATCCCAGCTGTAAAATGTAATTCTGCTTTAGAATACTTCCTAATGAGGTAACTAAGAAATATACATAGCAGGATCTATTCAATTTTGTGTGATCCAGTGTGCTTTTTATTTCTTGACCAAGTAAGACCCAATTATAATATTTTATTTAAAAGAAGTGCATTCTATTTTTAAGCATTGTGATATCATATCTTCCAGTGTGGTAACAGTATACTGTGTAGTAAATAATAAGAATGAGGTAATTTCATCATGATGATGTGGAAAGATTTCCTAACTATTAGGAAATGCAAAAATCATACTTTTACCTGAATCCCAAACACAAAGCAATTTGTTCATATTCATGTCAAGTGAACCTAGGTACATAGTTAGGGTGTGGAAGGAATAACCATACTGTTATTAAAAATTAATTTATAAAATCAGTTCATTGTCCAAAATAAAATAATTTTCCTCTATACTTTCATATAAACAAATGTTATAATTACAAAATTAACACAGCTCATATTTGGAACAAATAGGGGAAACCACAGAGAGACAAGTTTCAAGTTCTCTTATATTAGTATTTTATGGAGTACTCCTTAAACTTGTTTGTGTCACAAACCTCTTTGAGAATATGACTGAAGTTACAGCCCTTCTCCCCAGAAGAGAGCTCTTCTCGTCACCCTCAATTTTTTGCATACAATTCTATAAGTCTACGTACGAGTCCCTGAGAATCCATTCATGGTCTCCTTCCAAGTCAGTGGACCCCAGGAAAACAACTGCATTAGGGGGAACTCTGAAGATTTGAAACCCATCCACGAGGAAGGATGAGAGTAAGTTTTAAGTTTCTTTTTTTCAAAATACGTTTAACACGCGCTGACATCTTTCATCACGTGCACCACTTTCAAGTCATTACCAAAAAAGTTATAATGGAAAATGTTTTAAGAGAAACTGAGAGGGTGTCTGTAACAGCAAATTTTGAAATTGATATGGAATATTTCAAATATTAAGACTCTAGAAAGAACTGTTACCTCCAAAGAATCGCTGTTTAAACCATAATACCACTCTCTCCAAAGTCCATGGCTCTCTGGAGATTTGGCCAGTTCTATCACTGCATTGTTTGAAGAAATGCTAATCACGGGTTCTTTGGTACTCAATTTATTCTCTGGAGCAAATTGCAAAAAGAAGGAATAAACTAAGTCTTGTGTGGAGAAGCGCAATTTGTACCGGAGGGGGCTCAAATCCCCTTGAAGACTTTGCGGCTGGATCCGAGGCACTTGAATTAGCAGAGTCAAGGATTCTGTCTTCTGATTACACAGCAAAGGAGGACACAAAGGTTCCCCGCTCTCGGTCCCGGGAACACACATGGCTCGGTCAGAGGACTGGCCGCCTGTGCCCTCCAGGTCCACGCACGTCTCCACCCTGAGATCTCCTACAGAAGACTCCCACTCAAGGCCCCGGGATGAAGTAAAAGGAGAGCCTCTGCCACCAGGTAAACTCTCTGCTCCAGAAGACGGCTTCTCCCCACCGCGAGACACCGCGTGCCCGCCAAAGTCCTGCTCCTCTGACTCGGGGACAAGCTGCTTTCCAGCACCAGCCGGCAGCAGCGCCAGCTCGGGGGCGCTCGGGGTAGTGATCCCGGCGTCTAAAGCCCCTGCTCGGCTGGGATCCCAGCTTCGGTCTCCGGAGCGACCCCCCGCCGGTCCCGCCTCCCCTTCGCTAGCGGAAGCGCAGGCCGCGCCGTCAGTTCCGGGCCGACCTGCGGCCTCTTCCGGCGCAGCGGTGAGCTCCTGGCGCGCGGCCGGCAGCGACACGGGCAGCGTCACTACCAGCTGCCGCCGAGCCTTGTTGAACTGCGCTTTGCCGCGGCTGTCCTCCACCGGGTACGGGAGCGAGAGCCGCAACCGGTAGTCGGGTTTCCTTGAGTCGAGGCACAGCAGCTTTCCCGTCACCTCCAGCACCGCCTGCTCGGCAGAGCGCAGCAGCGGCATTTCGACGGTGACAATCAGCTCGTGGGGCACGGGACTTGGAGCTGAGTCCCGGGAGCAGCGGTAATCCTGGAGGTCCACGTGGTGGCGCTGCACCACGCTGTAGCGAGGCTCGGTGGGGGCGGGCTGTAAGAGCGCCTCCGGAGGTGAGGGCACCTGGGGCCGGGGGACTGCCGAGTCCCCGGCGGGTGACGGGTACCTGTAGGGGTAGGGGAAATCCAGGAGAGGGCTCTCCGGCTCCTCCTCGGGCCGGGCTGGGACGCCCCCTGGCAGGGGCGTGCGCAGCACGGCGGCCTCCGGGGTCCCCTTGTACTTGACCTTCAGGGTCTTGGCATTCCTGCGGTCCAGCTTCACGCTGAACTGCTTCTCCACTGCCTCCAGGGCCGTGGCGTCCAGCATCTGGCGGAAGCGCTCATAACCCCGGGCCAGCGCAAGCGCATCAGGGTGGAAAACCACATCGTAGACCATGTAGCGGGTGCCGCCGCGCCCCGCGTACTCGCGGCCTGGCGCCAGGCTGTAGGGCAGGGACCAATGGCTGCCAGGCGCTGCACCCCCATCTGCCCCGGAGCCGGGGCGGCTGCTCGGCGCGCCCACCAGTGCGTTGCTGCACACGTTCACGAAGCAGCGCCGCGCCCCGTCCAGGCTGGTGCGCAGTACGTGGCCCGGCTCCGGGTGCACGAACCGCACCTCCACTCCGCGCTCACGCTCCAGCGCCGTGATCTCTGCCTCGTAGCGCCGCCGATTCTCCGGGTCAGTGAGCTCCTCGGCGTACTTGGAGAACAGTCGCCGGAACTCCGGGTCTTGGAAGGCGGAGGTGAGCCGCTCGACCTCCTCTCCGCTCAGGTCCAAGTCCTCCAGCGGCGAGGAGGCTGCCGCTTTGGCCATTCTGTCCCGTGGCTCTTCGCTCTAGAGCCAAGGGAGATCAATCCGAGACCGAGTGGGTGGCAGAGTGCGGGCAGAGTCTCTGGGCCGCCTAGAGTGAGGAGGTCGAGGTCGTTAACGGCTAGAAGATTGAGCCTTGGGCAGCGTGTGCTCGTTGCCATAGTGACACCACCAACACCCGGGAGGAGGGATAGAAATGAGAATGGGATGGTGCAAATGCCAGAAATAGCCTTTTAGTTTCTTCAAAACAACCAGCCACCCGACTTTCTACGTTTTTTAGATTCCTGTGTCATGGTGCAGTTACTTCTGCAGATTGACTATTGTAATAATTGTAATTTCCAGCCTTATGTATGTTATCCCATTCATTGCTCGCACCATTTTAAGATAAACTTCATCCCCATTTTACAAACGAGATGGGACCTGAGAATACCTGATGAGAGTGACATAGCGAGTGTATTCAAAAGCTGCGATTCAAACCTAAGTTTGTCTGCCTTTTTTCACTTCGTTAACTATTAACATTTCGATCTTAATTTTTCTGTTTTCTATTTTCTGAATATTCCACCATAAAATTTGCCCAATAAAAACTCATCTGAGGCAAGAGATATGGACAGGCTATTCATAAACAAATACCAATGGCCAATAAACATAAAACTAATATACAGCAGTAGTATGGATGAATATCACTAATGTTGGTGTGGAAGAAACCAGATGCAAAATAATACATATGGTATGACTCCATTATATAATAGACAAAACTTGGCAAAGTCAGTCTTAAAACTGTTAGAAGTCAGGTTAGTGATTGCCCTCTTGAGGGAGAGTGGGGTGTTGTGATTGGAACAGAGCAAGGGGAAGCTGCTGGGGTGGGGGTCTGTTTCTCAATCTTGGTATTGGTATCATTGGGTTTGCAGTTTGTGAAATTCACTGAGTTGTACAGTAGGGGACTTCACGTATCTTATACTTTAAAAAGTTTTAAAACGTACTTGTAAAAAAAAAACAAAACTTTGCCTTCATGGATCATATGTGGGGTGAGACTACTGACTCCAAAATTGTGTATCTTCAGTCCTAGCTGACCACTGAGCTCTAAGAGACTCGCATGCCACTGTCAGCTAGATTTTTCCACCTGGATGTTTGATAGGCATCTCCAATTAACATATTAAAAATAGAAATCTTTTTTGTTTTTTTTGAGACAGAGTCTCACTGTGTTGCCCGGCCTAGAGTGCAGTGGTGTCATCATAGCTCACTGCAACCTCAGACTCCTGGGCTCAAGCAATCCTTCTGCCTCAGCCTCCCGAGTAGCTGGGACTACAGGCATGCGCCACCATGCCCGGCTAATTTTTTCTATATATTTTTAGTTGTCCAATTAATTTCTTTCTAATTTTTAGTAGAGACGGGGTCTCGCTCTTGCTCAGGCTGGTCTCGAACTCCTGAGCTCAAACAATCCGCCCGCCTCGGCCTCCCAGAGAGCTAGGATTACAGGCGTGAGCCACCGCGCCCTGCCTAAAAATAGAAATCTTAATTTTCACATCTCAAACCTTATGTTTCCCTAGTCTCAGTAAATACTACCACCTGCACAACTACTTAAACCTAAAACCTAAGGGTAATCCTTGTTGATTCCTCTTTGCCTCACCCTGCCCTGCCTTGTGAGCTACCAAGTCCTATTGTCTCTTCCTACACACCCCAACTATATCTTACTTTCCATTTCTGCTCTGAGCCACCATGATCTCCATCACATACTTCTGCAATAGCTTCCTTACTGGTCTCTTCAGTTCTTCCCTTCTGATGAGATCTTCTCCACACAACTGCCTTAGTGATCTTTAAAACCAAATCAATTTATATCACTCCCTGCTGAAAACTTTCAAGTAGCTTCACATCCATATTCCTTACGTGTGTCTACCACATTTGATCCCTCACCATCTCCACGCTCACCATCTAATTTTTCCCACCGGATCAGCCTAATGTCAGAATACTCTTGGTTCCTATATAGCCCGGGCACAGGCCCTTAAATTTCAAGAGTTTAAATGTCACCTTAGTGGCTGGGTGCGGTGGCTCACGCCTGTAATCCTAGCTCTCTGGGAGTCCGAGGCGGGTGGATTGTTTGAGCTCAGGAGTTTGAGACCAGCCTGAGCAAGAGCGAGACCCCATCTCTACTAAAAATAGAAAGAAATTAATCGGACAACTCAAAATATATAGAAAAAATTAGCCGGGCGTGGTGGCGCATGCTTGTAGTCCCAGCTACTCGGGAGGCTGAGGCAGGAGGATCACTTGAGCCCAGGAGTTTGAGGTTGCTGTGAGCTAAGCTGACGCCACGGCACTCCAGCCCAGGCAACAGAGCAAGACTCTGTCTCAAAAAAAAAGAAAAAATGTCACCTTAGTGACTCCCTGTGACATGCTTCTCCCACATCCAACACCCCACATAAAATTGCCCACATCAGTTTTATTTTCACCATGGTTTACATTTGATGTTTTCTTGTTTGTTTTAGGGTATAGCTTTCCCCATTTAAAGGCATAAACATCATGAGATCTAGGACCTTTCCTTTCTGGTTTAACACTGGATTCTCCAGTGCCTGGAACATATTAGGCACTCAGGTATGTAATGAATGAATATAGTAAAGAAAAAACAAGTTTAGTATGTATAATATGAAACCAAAATATTTTTATAGGAAAAAAATTAGGCATAGAGAAAAATCTGGATATATACCAAAATATTAACATAATATCTGATAGTGGAATTGCAGGTCATTAAAATTTTTTCTTTATGCTTGCTTATGTTTTCTATTTTTTTCTACTATGAATTTATTTAATAAAAAGTTTTAAAATACCCTATCATATAGGTGTTTTTGTTTTTGAGACAGGGTCTTGCTATGTTGCAGAAAATATTTTTCCTAGAAAACTTTGTAAAGTATACTAATCATATTTGTTATAACTTAACATCAAAATTTCATAAAATACAAATTCAAGCAGAACATTCTAAAGTTTACCATAATTTTATTGTAACTTAATGTCAAAATTACATAATATGTAAAATTAAGCAGAAAATTGATGAATTTTGTTTCTTCAGATTGTCTTTAAGAATCTCAAAAGCCTTGAAGTTTGCTAGAAACAGAAAATAATCATAAAATTAAACATTTTGGAAACCTGAGTTATTGTATATTTCTTAATATTTAGCTATAGTTAATCAATTTTAAAAATAGGTCAATACATGTATATTGTTCCAAATTCAAAAGGGAACACTAAAAAATAAGTCAGTCTCATATCCCATTTTGGCTCCCCAAAAGCAACTATATATCCTTGTAAAGGTAGTCTAATCAAAAAAAAAGATAGTCTAATCATACATAAGCATTTGTATATGTGGGTTTATGCTTTTAAAAGCACATAACACAAGTGATAGAATATTATGTATATTTTATACACCCTTTTCAATTAGTAGTAAATACATTATATTTATAAGTTAACTAAATTCTTCCTTTAAGGCTTTGAAATTTAAATAAATTAGAAAGTTCTGAATAAGTACAAATAGATATAAAACTGCAATAAAAACAACTGTACCTATTTTTACGCATAAGCATCTGTAGGATATATTCCTGGAAATGGAATTGCTGGTATATGCATTTTAGGTGTTAACAAATCTTGTCAGGTACCCTCCATAAACGTTTTTACCATAAATTCTGACCAAGTATGTGTGAGAATGTCTGTTTCCCCTACTTCATCACCAATAATTGTGTTTTTAATAAAACTATTTGAAAGTACATATTGAAAGAGTTATCTCCTTTGACTACATTTTTTGTGATTAATTCCACAATATGATTTCACAAATATTCTAATAAAAGGTTTCTTAAGAGACACTAAGCAGCAGGAAGACCAGATTATTTCAATATATCTTGAAATTTTTTTCTGTTCTCTCAAAAAATAAACATACACCAGTTTGTTTGATCCAGCACTGAAAAGATTCCCAAGTTACCAATACTAAACTATAGTTTGGAAATTATGTCAAGGCTCTTCAGCATCTAAGACCACATAAGAGAAAAGAACCAACTATTTCAATTCGACAAACAGCATCAACTACAAGTCAAGTACTATGCTAGATACTATGCTAAAAACTTTTAGGAAGGACAAGTACATAATGACTTCTCTTTTTTTTTAGCTGCAGGTAAACCAGTACATAATGACTTCTCATACAGTACATTAAAGACTGTAATAGAAATCTGTATAAAGTGCACAGAACACAAAACAATTCTGCATGGCAATCTGGGAACATTATAAGAAATGCAAATTTGGATGTTCTTCCTAACAGTTAAAGCAAAGGAAGTCTTAAGAATTTACAGTCTTCCTAAGATTAAACAGTTGCTTGGGGCAGACAGATTTCTCTTATCCTGAGACATAACCGAAAGCTCCCAGTACTAGTTTTCATAGCAGACTTAAGTTTTATACCAAATCTTAGTTCAGTTAAAGTCAATCTAAAAGTGAACAAGACAATATGCTCTAGGCTGACAGCCCTCACAGGTGATTTAATCCTGGGGTCACAAATCAAATGCCCTTGGAGCATCCAGGTGTGGTGGAGCTGGAGAAAAGCGTGTATCCTTATCTAAAGGCATTATCAATTTTTTTCTTTAGTATTCAGTATAGGCTAGGTAAAGTCAAACACGTGTTAGACTTACGGAATTAGAGGCTAGAGTGTCTGCCTGTATTCCAAGGGCTAAGCAGTGCCTGGAATACAGTAAGAATCAACTGTATGTCAAATGGGAGAATCCAAGAATAAAATTTTGAAAATCTCATAGAATGAATGGACTAACATCCTCCTTGAGTATTGAGCAGGAAGAATATATGCATAAACTTTTTTTTCAAGAAATGTGTATAAGAGACTGTTAATCATGGTTTCAGGGTTGGGAAGCAGAGGTATTTTTCTTTTTCTTTTCTTTTTTTCCCCCGGGCTAGAGTGCTGGGGGATCAGCCTAGCTTACAGCAACCTCAAACTCAGGGGCTCAAGTGATCCTCCTGCCTCAGCCTCCTGAATAGCTGGGACTACAGGCACACTCCACCACACCCAGATAATTTTTTCTATTTTTAGTAGAGACGGGGTCTTACTCTTGCTCAGGCTGGTGTCGAACTCCTGACCTCAAGTAATCCTCCCGCCTTGGCCTCCCAGAGTGCTAGGATTACAGGCGTGAGCCACCGTGCCTAGCCTCTTTTTTAATTTTAATACTTGTAAGCATGGTTTGAAATTTTTGTTGTTTATATTCTGTATTCATTTTTATTTAAATATGTTAATTATAAAAAAGAAAGACAATTGGGCTGGCTGTGTGTTCAAGATTATATTCTCTGACAAGAACCTGGAGGATAGTTATTTGATTTGGCCACTTGTTCTTAGGGGTGGGAGTTTTTTCAAAATATTAGTTATCTGACTGAATTCAAGGGAAACAATGTTAAAAATACATATTGTCTACATCTCTAGAGAACCATTTGATGAGTCTGGGGTAAGATCCTAGACCTTAACATTTTTAAGAAGAACCCCAGAAAATTCTGATGCAGGTGATCTATTGATCACCCTGTGAAAACCACTACCCACCAGGTGATAATCTTTCCTTCTTTCTTAAGACCTTCCTATAACCTCAACCCCTCACCGCCACCAAACATACAGCTCCCCACTACTTCTTTGCTGTCAATTTAAGACAAATTGCCTGGGTTTGAGAATCAACCATATGGAGGGCAGGGCTGACCTCTGGGAAGAATAAGCTCATCATCAGGAGGCAGCCTGCAAGAGAACTAGCCACCTCCATAGCTGGTCTGAGGTTTCCCCACAGGAAGCAGTTCCTACCTATTCTAACACAAACGTACCATCAAGCATGTACAATTCTATGTCACATAACATAATCACAATAACCTCAGCCTGGAACACTTCCAGTGAGCCACTGCAGACATTTTTAAAGATCTCAGCACACTGACAGAACATCTGATTTTAGCAATATAATACCAAGAGAAAGCTCGTTCTTGCTGTTTCTGTGGACACTTACCTATCTTCTACTGTCTTATTGGAAGGATAAAAAACTTTGAATGAAAATCCACTTCTTGGAAAAGAACCCTTTGGGGAGAAAAATGCCTGTAAGTGAATACTCAACTTTTATAAAATAATCACTATTTTTTAAATCAAATTCCTTGGTCATGACTTAAAGTTACAAGCTCTGACTATAAAGTAATACAACAGATTTTTACATGATCTTTATAGAGAGATGTTGTTACTATCAGATATCTCCACTTGAAGCAAAAGTCTTGCAAGTTGGCTAGACAGTCTTATGCTAACAGATGTGGTTGGAAATACTCAGGAGTGGCTCTACTTAGTATAAGAAATAAACAGAACTGTGTAATGCTAAATATGTATGTGAGACACTCAGACATCATATTCAAGATGTCTTTCCTGCTCTTCCCTCTGGTGAAAATCTGTGTTTGATGTCCTTCCAATATGCCTCTAAAGTTATTGAGCAGAGCCCTGTCTTTTCAGTATTTGTGTGCCCACCACCTAACCCAATGCCTGGCCTATAGCAGACATTCATTAATGTGTGTGTTATCAAGAAAGGATGAAGTAATGTCAAAAGCAAGTTTTGAGGCCAGGCGTGGTGGCTCACACCTGTAATCCCAGCATCCTGGGAGGCCAAGGTGAGAGGATGGCTTGAGGCCAGGAGTTTGAGAACAGCCTGGCAAGAGCAAGACCCCATCTTTATTTAAATTTAAATTTAAAAATAAAAATAATGAAATTAATAATTTGAAAAAGCAAGTTTTGAGCTTGCCCAAAAGATATAAGTAAGGTAAAAAAGATATAATAATGGTGTAGGAGGTGGTTGTTTACTTACTTACAGGATGAAAAAATAAAAGAATTCAGAAATAAGGTATATTCAAATAAAGCATTAACTATGAGAATGCCCAAAGTTAAATTTAAATAAGGAAACAACCAAATTTTGAAAGAATATTTGAATGTGAATAAAGATTATATAAAAATCAGGTCATAAATTTCAAGCAATGAAACCAAATCAGTTAACTATGTTCATCCTTAGAGCAGTAGTTCTCAACCAGCATGACTTTGTCTCTCAGGGGGCATTTGGCAAATGTCTGGAGACATTTCTGATGGTTACAACTAAGGGATGCTATTGGCCCCTAGTGGGCAGAGGCCAGGGATGCTGCTAAACATTTTAAAATTTGCAGGACAACCCCTACAACAAAGAATTACTTGGTCCAAAATTTCAAAAGTGCTGAGGTTGATAAGCCCTGTCTCAGAGGAAGCAGGATAAAATGTGTTTAAGGAAAGTAGTAACCAAAAATAAGGATTACAGATTGAACAAAAAAGTATTAAAGTCTAAAATTCACAAGAATCAAGGAAGCATGCAGATTAAAAATCACGAGTAAAGATAATATTTTGCTTGATATAAACAAGTGTGTGTATGTCATTGTTTATGCAGTATTTATTCCCCATGGTCAAAAAGTCAACCATACTTCTGTAGAAATTCTGAAGCAACCTCAAGATTCTGAAGAAATTTCAAGGTTCTACATAAAAAATAAATAATAAAATGTGTCCCAATGAAATTTTTGCATTCATCAGACTTAGATTTTTGGGACTTGGGCAATTTCCAAAAATCAAAATCATTTTCGGAGAACAAGTACCATCAATATGTTACAAGAGAATGGGACACAGGATCTGAAAGCAGTTCTCAGAAAGGAATCCCAAGATAAGTTACTTTGAAGGGGAAAATGGTCATTTGGATTTATATGTTTTGGTATACTTGCTTTTTTAAAACAAGTCACATCACTTTATAGTCACATACTATCCTGAAAGTTTAAGAACTTTCCGTGTATACCAAATTAAGTCAACGTTTCATTGATAGTATATTTTTACTCCAATAATAATTTTATTATACATTTTATAATTGTATTATATATCTTAAATTTAAAGAAATGCGCTCTAATCTTGACAAATAATGACTATGTAAGGTTAACTACATTCTTACAGGGTTTATGCAGAGGCATTCTGTATTAGTCACAGTGAAAGGATCGTATTTATCTGCAATGACAAGTAGATCAGGCACAGGATACACTCTCAAAGCATAGTCATATGCCCAGTACACTGGGCAGACATAAAGAGGTAAAGGAGTCAGATGTCCTTGGGATAAGATAGTCTTTACAAACTACAAAAGAACACAAAACAAAGCAAACTTCAATTCATTTGTAAAAGTGAAAATAGTTTAATAATTTCAAATTAAATATTAATTAGCAAAAGGACCCAGAAAATTTGAGAAACAATTAGGAAAGCTATGAATCATGGAATTTTGGGAAACACTGATATAAAATGGAATTAATTCCGTATTTTAGGAAAAAATATCTAAGTTTTCATTTAATACCATGTGCCTTAAAAGTGACACCCCTTAATAGTCATATTGGACCAACTGTACTTACAGCTGTATAATAAACTCATTTACTAATTCTGTTCATCTAAAAATAGTTTCATAGCTTGAGTAAAGCCAGGAATCAAGATTCAGCTTATATAAACTTTATAATTTTATAAAATGAATAATAAAAATGCTCTATAGGATCTATTTCCATACTTCTCAGATGGAGGTACACATAACCAAGGATTGACAGCTGGGCATCAGGGAACCTTGAAGCTACAAGATAAACAGTACACATCCTTTAGATGTGGACATACCATATAAAATATGTAATAGACACCCACACCCCCACTCTTGGTCCATGGAAAAATTGTCTTCCATGAAACCAGTCCCTGGTGCCAAAAAGGTTGGGGACTGCTGCATTACTTCAGTAGAAAGCTGAGAAACACTGACTTACTAACAAAAATTAACTTACTGACAAAAGGATGTTTAATTTATTTTGAACCACAAATAAACATCATAATATAAGGGAAAATTATTAAGTGACTTAATAAAATTGCATATAATGTAACATGCAAGCTAGTTTAATAAAGAAGACTCTTTACTTACATGATTAGGAATAGCCAAATTGCTACTAGGAAAACGGACACAGTTCCTGCACATTTTATTCACTAAGTCTTCACGAAAGACAATAATTTCTTGTGTACAATACTGAATTCTGAAATGAAAACAGTAGTTGACTTCCTCAGGGAAAAAAATGAGATAATTTTAAAGGCAAAAAGTCTTTAAATGTCAAAAAGCCATCCCCACTTCCCACTGTTCACCATAGCAAAAATTCAACTAGTCCTTCTGGTCATCCATTCATTCGACAGTTATTTTGTGAGCTCTAAATATGTGCCTGCAATATTCTAACAATTAGCAAACAGAACAGAAAGATCTTAGCCTTCGTGCAGTTTACATTCTAGTGGGAGGGAGGCACAGAAAATAAACAATAAATATGATAATTACATAGTATGTTTGAAGATGCTTAAGTGTATGGGCAAAAGAGAAAGGCTGAGGGATCATCCATGGGAAGGGAGGGTCTAGAAGATTGGTATACTAAAGAGTTTGATGGAAATGAGCAGGGCTCATAAATGAAGTATGTCTTGAGCACAGGCTTAAAGTGGGGGAGGAAGTCAGTCAAGCAGATATCCAGAGGAAGAACACACAGGCCCTCACACTGGCGCATGCTTGGCATGCTTGAGGAATAGCAGGGAGGCTGGTGCAGCTGGAGCAAATGAGGAGAGGAAATCAGAGAGGGAAGAGGGGGCCAGACCATGCAGCGCCTGGATCATCATTGCAAGGAATGAGATGAGGGCACCATCTTTCAGGATTATGAAGGGGGACACGATATGCCTAACACTTTAGAGGATCACTCTGACACTGTGTCAAGAATAAACTATACAGAGGAAGCAGTGGAAACCGGAGACTGATTAGGAGGCCATTACAGGTATCCAGGCTAGAGAAGATGGAACCAGGGTCACAGAGGTAGAGGTATAGAGAGGTGACCAGATTCTGGATATATTTTGAAATCAATAGGACTTCCTGAAAAACTATTAATACACATGAGAGAAACCCCAAAGTTTTTGGCCTGAGCAACTAGAAGGATAAAGGTGCCATGAACTAAGATGGGGAAGGCTACAGAACAGGTTGCAGGTGGTGGCAGGGGAGGAAGATCAGTTCACTTTGATCCAAGAGGAGATGATAAGTAGGCAACTAGATACATGAGTCTGGAGTTTGGAAGAAAGGTCTGAGATGGAGATATAAATGTGGGAGGTGTCAATACACAGATGATATCTAACACAGATGACGTTATCCACACCCTGGATAACGTCACCAAAGGAGTGAATGTAGGCAGAAAAGAGAAGAACCAAGGCTGACTCTTAGGTTGTTCCCACATTATGAGCCTATGATAACAGCAGCACCAACAGTGAATTATTTAAATACAGTTAAAATATTTCCAAAACAAAAAGAAACTTTCTTTTTATATTTATTCTATAACAGTCAAAATTCAGAGACAAATTTTAAGAATCGACTTAATTTTTAAATGAAAGGGAAAAAAGTGTAACATAAAATACTAATATTTACCTGCAAGGATTAGTAGTAAAAACTGAAAATGGTACCCTTTGTCTGAATTCATTAGCGATGCTTTCAGCAAGTGGTGGCCTATAAAAACAGTTTATGTGATATGGTACATATTTTAAAATTTTACAAAATTTTCTTTACTATTGTAAAAATTTGAATAAAACTTACCTTGGTAAGATAGAACCAAATCCAGGATCCTCTGGACCAGGTACAAACACAAAACGACTACTACAGCAAAATTCAACATAATTTATTGAAAAATATATTATTGTAACACTATCCAGTAGCAAAACAAGTTATTCCCTTTAATTGAATCATGAATTTTTAAAAATTTTTAAATGTTGTATATTTTAATAAATGAACTACTGAAAGTCTCCAGACCAATACTGTCTAATAGCGTGATGACAGAAATGTTCTAGATCTGCACTGTCCAACTAAGTGCTTGAACTGTGGCTAGTGTGTCCGATAGACTGAATTTTAAATTTAACTTTAATTTAGAGACACGTGGCCAGTAACTATCACACTGAAAGGTGATGCTCTAGACCCGTAGAGTAATGTCACCAAGAAATTCAAAATATGGTTGAAATTATCACTCTCCCTCTCAAGACTTTTCACTATAAATCTCTAGTACAGTATAACATATATTATCACAATGTGAGGCCAATTTGATCTCTTAGCTCTTTTAGTTTTCTCAACTTTCTTTTTCTTAGTTTAATAGTAGCTGATATAAAACTTGGGGTTCAGCCAGGCATGGTGGCATGTGCCTATAATCCCAGCCATTTGGGAGGCCAGCAGGGCAACATAGCAAGACCCCATCTCAAAATAAATAAATAAAATTAAAACTTAAAAAAAAAACCTATAGGATTCATTTTTGGTTATTTTTTTAAAACAAAACCATTTGGATAAAAAATATAGCAGTAGAGAGCATTACCTTTGATGAATATCTGGGTATTGACATATTATGTCTGCCAAAGTTTTTAGGGAATCTAAAATTTTAAAGGGACATTAGGTTTAATTTGTATA